TTTGACAACATGTCTTACACCAAAATAGAAAATCAGTCATGTTTACGTTTGTTATGCGGAAGGGAAGTCGGACATGAATAATTACTTTTAAGTTAAAACTTCATTATTTAACAAAATTACCTGACAGGCTTTGCATACCAGATGATCTTGATACGCGGAAAAGTACTGGCACTAGTTGTCAAATAGAAATCCATTTTATGATTAAAACAACTGAATATCTCCTCTAATACACTTTATTTCGATTCCATATTTTTGTCAGAGCTATAGTTCTCATAACCAAACATAATTACAAAATTTCAACTAGTTTCATAAAGAATAACGAAAGATATAATTGACTGAATACATCAAAATGGATTTCTATTCGGACAACCCTTTCTGAGCGCTGATTGGCTAAAATACGAAAACGAGATCACCTGGCCCCCAGTAACAGTTATTCTGACCTGCAGCAACGTAGCCAGCCCAACGACTTAGTTCCGCTATGCAAATATTTTCGTGTTCATTGACTGTGAAAACAATCAATTACTAATTGAGAAATGAATAATGATATTTTTCAAAATTTGCATAGCGGTACTAAATCGTCCTGTGCAAGGCAGCTAGAGCCAAGAACGACGCTCTTTTACAGACGAAGATTATGCAAGAATTATATCGGAGAAAAATGTCGCAAGCTAGTTATTTGAGGTAGGGGTCAATCATTTTACGATAACGATTCCGTCAATATGTGAAGGTTGATTGATGCCGATTGTACTTATATTATAAATATTCTGAAGTGCAGGCGTATTCGTATGGGATATCGTAAAATTCTTGTAATCGCATGCGTAGAATTTAAGTTAGTTGATTGTTCGGTGCATTCTGGCAAGGCAGAACATCTCTTAAACAAAACTTTTTAAATTCTGAACAATATTTCAGTGGAGCCTGTATAATTTTCTTTTTGCAAGGACTTGCAAGAAATTTTCACCTGTCTAAAATTAATTTAGGATAGATTATTCCTATTTAAACTTTCCTCCCTTGAGATCCAGTATAAACCTCATGACCGGTTATATAGAGATACAGTAAACGCCAGTATGTCATTTATCACCATTACTATACAGAAGCATACATAACTAGAGTAAACTAAGTAATAATCAAATTCCACGTTTAGCAATAATGCTGCTGAGCATTTTGTCAAAAACCTACAAGCATGCAACTGTCTTTACGATGGAATATCTAAATATTCTTGGTCATTTTCAGGGAACATATAAAGCATTAGACGGGACGTGAAAATAAGCGTCACAAATTTCAATTATATCTCAACAGTATAGTTATTGTGCATGACGCCAATTCCTTGGTTACGAATGTAAAAATTAAAATACCTAAAACATTAAAGGCGAACATTAAATCGAACACTTTACAGGCAGGCACAGGTGAAACAATTTTGAACCTCAACTGAATGCGAAAATTATACGAAAAGGAAAGAAAGAACGCAGTAAAACTTTTCTATATACGTTGTATTCGGCATCACGAATTTCAAATGGGTCACGTCTGCGGCAACAGCTGTTTCCTAGCCAAATTTTTACGAAGTTGTTATTGTGTGTACGGTCACGGAAAGAAACGACCTTTGGCCACAGAATAGAGGACCTTACAGACAGCCGGCTTTGTTTATTAGTTTCATTGGTGAGTGGATATCCCAACAGGTTATTGCCCAATTGATAGGGGATCCGATGTTCTTGCGAATCATGGTGTGGTAGCGGTATATGTTTTTGGCCGAGTCGGCCTTCTGTAAGATCTATTATATTCTGTGCTCAAGGCCACCTGCATGTTCGCAGGTCACGCTTTAGGGATTCAATACTCGCAGCTACCGAAGGCTTGCCAGGAAATTGATAAAAATTACTTGATATCTATTTTGCATGCTGACAGAACGAAGAAAATAGTTGTCCCGGACATATATCGTTGACACATCAGTGTCAAAAAGCAAATATTATTGACCCCCCAAACGACTCTTTTGACGTTTTGTGAAGGTCTTTTGGACTTTATTGAATTTACAGTGCATGGTTCACTTAACATATACAAATAACAAGTGACCTATAATTACTGGATATCATTTATCTGGCAACTCATAAATGAGTATCTGTCAAAGGATGACCAGGGGCCGCGGAACCGGGGGGAGCAATGAAGACATGTGTTCCCCCACTTTTTTAAAAGTGAAAAAAGTGACCAATTTACAAAACAAAAAAATATTTCCTGAATGAACGCCCTCCTTGCTGGAAAGAAATTGCCCTTTTTGCAGTAGTAAAGACTCTGTAAAGGCCATTTCTAACGTTATGGAGACTCCATATTTTCAAAAAAGGCCACTTCTAACGTGATAGAGACTCCATATTTTCAAAAAATTTCGCTCGGCTCGTGAACGATATAAAACATTCGACACTGGAAACATAGCAGATTGTCTGGAGCACTGTTTAGAGGACTGTCGGTGTCAGTCGTTTCAAATTTGTGGAGGGACAAAATGTCAGCTGTGTTCAAGTCACAAGGAAGAGAACAGCTCATTGCTTCATTACAATGATACCTGCATCTATGCTATGTACGAGGTGCGAAATGCTCAGGTATGATAACGTTTTTAAAATTTGCAAATAAGCTTTTCCAATTTTTCGTCTCACGACGTTACAGCTTAAATTCGCTCTTGTTAATGTTTGAAAAGATAAAGCCAACAGCATTACTTTATTTGAATTCCATGCACGGTCAACTTGGTCGTGTCCAGCCTGTGAGCATAGCTCACTCTTTGCCCAATGCTCGGAGGAAATACAGTTTTGAATTCCACATCCAATAGTCGTTATTGTTAAAATAACTCATTCTCCGATCCGAGTTTGCCTTATCGATTTTTCAGTAAGTGTACAAGAATCGTTCAATGGTCAACTCTTATTCTACCTAGCTATGCAAAACGATCCCTCACAGGGAAAGTCCTTGGGAATAAAGTACAATGCTTTTATCTTCTTAGAAATTCGACGACCACTGTTCGACCATACCTTGTCCAAAGAATCATAATTGTTGTCAACAACAATCTGGTCTCTGTTCCGGGAAGAAAACATGTAAACCATTCAACTCTCCCAAGAAGCCCTGGAAACGTTTCATCTGCAAATGTCGGTATGGTTATTTTTGAGACAATTGTGACCAGCAAATCATGTCTGGGGCCTCGGGGACCTCAGAGGCCTCAGAGGCATCATGGACCTCATGGACCTCATGGGCCTCATGGGCTTCATGGGCCTAGGGGGTTGCAAAACGGGCTGTGATCTCATACCAGGTGGGGAAGTTGTCTGAGTCACTGGTCTGAGCATGCCACTGAACTATTCCAGTACAACAGCCAATCAGCGCTTCTTCAAGATTTAAAAAATATGACAACATCACAGGCCGTAGCTGACCCCAGCATAGTTTTCACAAAATTTTGCAAAAAAAACGAAAATAATTCGCTTTTTTAACATCCTTAGAATGAACTTTTGAAGTCAAAACTTTGGGAAAATGTAGTAAAATTACCTGTGTTTGAAATTATGTATATTTTATATTTTTTTTCTTCTAATTTGCAAAATATTCATACTGTAGTAAACGTTGTAATAAATTTCCGTTAAAACTCTTGCCAACCTTGTCAAAATAATAAACAAAGTAGACTCGATGCATGCCCGAGCGCCACGCGCGAAGGTACAAATTGTAACGCGCATTTTTGGGCTGCCTATGGCACAACCTAGCTGTAATTTGGTTTAGTTAATGGTGCTCAAAATATTATGTATTCGTCAAAATAGTATAAAGACAGAACGAATAATCAGACGAACCATCTGACGAATAAGTTATCTTTGTTATGCGTTTTGAGGCTCTGAAAATTAAACAAGACGGGCACAGAATGTACTGCGAAGACCTGAACAACGTTTGCCTAGATGCATCGGAATGCATCTTGTGTGTTGTGCCTGTGTGTGATGGCGTAAGCATGACGTGTACATCTAGGGAAATGACGGACACGAAGTCCTATGAAGTTACACATTTGGTATACTCTTAATCTGTGCGTACAATCGCGTGCAAAAATAATGAGACTTTTTATGTTTCTGGCCATTTTAAAGTACGTTAGCCTCCCTCTGCCCCCATGATCAATGTTGGAAAAAGTGGGTTGAATTTTTTCTTTTCAATCATTCACACAACACTGAATTGTGGCTGAGGGGGCATTCATGCGGTTGCCTCAATAATTTTTTATCCTGATTGTCTCTATTTGTACTTTTGAATGACACGTAATTCGTTCATGTTGATGCAACTTATTGCTCCATGTTGATTCAACTTATTGCTCCAACAGTTTTCTATAACTGAATACTTCATGCAAACAGAATATAGGAGATCTTGAGAACTATAGTTATTTTTTGTTAGGAAAGGAAGATTAATTGATGAATATATACATTGGAAGAAGATTATAAAATAATGAATAAATTTCAGACAATTATTTCTCATGGCTGACAATCATGAGTATATTTTTTCTCTGAAACAGAAAATTTCCTTTAAGAAGAAGGAGACGTTTCTTCATGATTATGCCGATTGTTTTAGCGGCATTGTGTGTTTTGAGGGAGAGTTTCATATTACGCTAGACCCAGCAGTGCCACCAGTAATCCATCCACCCCTCAGGGTTCCAGAAGCCCTCCAAAATCCGTTAAAGGAAGAGCTTGATGCCCTAGAAGCACAGAGTATTGTAACTAAATGCATCCCGCAGGTTGTGTCTGGATCCCAAAGATTTAAATAAAGCCATCAAGCGCCCCCATCACCGCACCCCAACTATTGATGAAATACTCCCAAAGCTAAATGGTGCCCAATATTTTTCATTTGTCGTAAGAAGTGGTTACTAGAACATTAAGTTAGATCATCAAAGTTCCTTGTATACTACATTTAATTTTCCGCATGGCAGATACCGTTTTCTCAGGCTCCCTTTTGGTCTAACATGTGCTCAAAGTATTTTCCAGAAGAAGGTTGACGAAGTCTTTGGTGATTTTCCGCGGTAACAGGGATAGCTGGTGATATCGTCATATCAGGAAAAACCCGTGGCGAACACGACAATAATCTGAAGGCAGTCATGGAGTGTGCTCAAGAAACCGGCGTCCGATTCAACCCAGACAAGTGCCAGATTGCACGTACAGAATTATCATTCTGTGGCCACACGATTAGTGCTACTGGTCTCAAGCCGGACCCCAAAAAATTGAAGCCATCAGAAGTCTACAAGTCTCACAGACCTGCAGACTTTGCTTGGAATGGTTCAATATCTTGGTCGGTACATTTCAAATCTAGCCTCAATCTCGTTCCCAGAGTATGCCTGTTCGCGGGTTAGGTTGTGGCATGACTCTGGGGAAATCGAATCGAAATCGTTATTTGATTGGCTGCCGTGATCATCAATGCTGCCGACACAATTAATGCGTGTTTTTTGCGAGAATTACGCGTGAAAATACGCGAAGAGAGAATTATCAATGTTTATCAAATTTGGAATGCGAAATCAAACAATATAAATCGAAGGATATAATATTAATCGTATGAAAAAGTATTGGAACGTTGGGTATATACTTACAAAATGGCATGTTATTTATGAATGACTTTTTATCGATCTACAGTATGAGTATATTCATTATAACCATGAAAGAATTGGCTAAATGAAATCATCGCACACGTTGTCGTTGTTTTGTTAAATTGACATATTGTTGCCAGGACTTTGGAGTGACAGCTTTTGCTTGTGTTAAAAACTTGAAGCTTTAAACAATACAGTACATTATGGTCAACACTCAACATGTTGTAGTCTGTGGTCTTTGTGCTTTTGTAAATGGAGTTATCTATATAAATTTAAGATGCCAAGTGTTTTTGTAGCATCTGTATAAATTATAGAATAATTGATTTAAGAAGTTCCTCAGGTTGTAAAACATTTGGTTATAGACTCGCTTTGTAAATGATTGCCACTTGACAGCATGATGGGCTATTCCATTTAATATCGGTGTACACCCCCTGTCGAGGATGCATGTTTTTCATGGTTATACCCCAGAAGAATTCCAAACTCAAAACCTTCTACCCTGAATAATTCCAAGCTCAAAACCCTTTACCCCTGAAGAATTCCTAGCTCAAAACCTTTTACCCCAGATGAATTCCAAACTCGAAACACTTTACCCCTGAAGAATTCCAAGCTCAAACCACTTTACCGCTGAAGAATTCCAAGCTCAAAACCCTTTACCCCTGAAGAATTCCAGGGATCCCCGACAGGGGGGGGGGTTGATATTAAATGGAATAGCCCGATGTAAGGCTATAACTAAGCCAAACCTGAAACAATTTTTGCATCAATTTGTGTCTGGATAAAAAATAAGTAGTGAATTTAAATACAGATGTTTCCTTGTCTGTTGCTATGTGAAACAATGTTGTTTATAGCAATAAGAGTTATTGTTGATCAATAACAATGCTCATTTGCTAAAAATATAGAAGTATTGATTCCATTTCCAAACTATTATACTATGTGAATATATTGGCAATTAATCCAATTATATATAAATAACTACTTTAATTTCTGTATCAAGCCTCCTGGGTATTATTGTTTCCTAAGCATCATTGAGGGGGCACTTGCTCTAAATATATGCAATAAGTCTGGTTACCATTAATTAAAAAATGTCCATACTCAGAGTTACAGTTGTACTATGTTTTATTAAAATACTACAGAAATGCAATATATTTCATGATTTTAAGAATTAATTGAATGGCAACTGCATGGTTAAAAGAGGAGGTGGGCTTATTTATTTTTGATTTTTGTATCCAAATGAGGGGGGGGGGGTTATTGGAAAGGGGCTTGACGAGAAGGGGGCTAAATATAGAAATTACAGTACCTCCATTCCTTCCTCTCCCTTCCCAAACATGCTGCAGGAGAGTGGCAACTGCAGGGGTTAAAGCCTGGATTGCAAGGTTGATGTATAATTTGCATGTTATGTACCTGGTAATATGGAGAAATGAGCTAGTAAATATATCCTTGCCTATAATTAGTTGCTGATTAAATGTTCAAAGATACACAGTGTGAAGCATGAAAAACAAATGGAAGATACCCACTGCAACAAATTTTCAACAAATATATATGGATTTGTTCACTTCATTTACTTTCAACACAAGTAATTATAGTAATTATAATTACAAACACAATGTACTGTCATTTAAATTTTAAAAACTTCATATGTGCTCCATGTATATATGTTAATGTAATATAATATAAAAAATGTGTTTATTGGGTCGTTCCAGAAAAGATCCACAGTCCCCCCACGGAGGAAATTTCTGCCGTCCGGAGGGGGAGGGGAGATAACATTGTTTCTGATAATAGTAAATGTATTAGGACATCCGAAGGGGGTAGGGGGTTAACTTCCAATTTCCTCTGTGGGGGTGGTATGGATGTTTTCTGGAATGACCCATTGCTAAAATATGTGATAAATAATACCGTAAACCTCTGACTATAAGCCCTGGTCTTATATTCTTTTGTAAGCGATTTTTGATGGGCTTAGGGGGGGGGGGCTTATATGCACGGGGGCCTTATACATGGACGATCAATTGTGTTAGTAATAAACAAGTCAGTCATAAACAGGAAAATAAACATGTATTAATAACACACTTCGATTAACATAGTAAGCTATAAAGACAATGACAGTGTTTTTAATATCGTTCTCTGCTATATTAAAAGACAATGTCAACGTTAAATAACATATACTGGGATTATATTCAGGGAACTTATATTCAGGGGGGCTTATATGTGGAATGAGGTGAGCATTATATTCAGAGGTTTACAGTATACAGTTGAAAAAAGCTTGTATTTTCTTGTCATAGACACACATTTCTGGGTGCATATAGAACAGCTTATACGTTGGGTTCTCATGTGGATCCAATGGTAATTTGATATCGCTGCCATCACCAAATATAGTATAGTATAGTGTAGCACAGAATGGACTTGTTACCCTTGTATCATAATCATACTTTGACATGCATGCAGAAATGCGTTGGTCATTCATGTGGAGATATGACTATCACGATAGAATTAGTTACGCCAAGTAACATGTCGTACACGTCAGGTAGCAGCTGAAATATTTTAATATTTGCCATAATAAGCCCATAACCTGTTGGGAAAACAACCAAAACATCTTCACCATTTTACAATGGCCGAGACACATTTGAATGTCTCGTCTTTTAACGAATATTCAAGCTCTCTTTTCGCTAGAACGGCTTTTATAGCTCTTTCAATATTTGCCATTGAATATAATTTAATAGTAGTACGATTTAAAGCACCTTTAAACATATAAAAAACCATTTTGTATACTATATTCTGATGAGAATCTGTTCAACAAATATATCGATTGTGATCGTGTGCCCGCGCGAATTTAGTAAGCGGAATAAACATAAGCAATAAAAGCGCATGCGCCATTTATCTCATTTTGGATAAAATAAATTCGATTTCCCCAGAGTCATGCCACAACCTAACCCGCGAACAGGCATACTCTGGGAACGAGATTGATCTAGCCTCTGTTTCAGCAGTCCTATGGGATCTTACCAAAAGCGCCAATGAGTTTCAATGGAATCCTGAACACCAGCAGGCAGCAGATAAGGTGAAGAATCTTATCGCCTCCCCTGGTAGCCTCCAGTAGGTAGCAAAACAATCACCATTCAAGTAAACTCCTCTCGGAGACAGAACGTTGCTATTCCAATATTGAACGAGAGATGCTTAGTATTGTTTACAGTTACAGGTAAACTACATCAAGCGTTCCTCTTTTGATTTTCTAAATTGATTGGAATTTTCCTCATTACATTTGCAATTTAAAAAACTCCCTTGCAAATCCCTTGAGGAAATTTTGCTAAAAGCCAATTAAGTGTTCCTCAGTTCCTGTTAGAAGTTCTTAACTTCCAGTTACAAGTTCCTAACTTCCTGTTCTGTTCTGTTCTGTTCTGATCTGTTCTGCGCGTTTCAATTGACTAACAAAAATAATCGACCAATAACAACGCTCAGAACAGAACAGAATAGGAAGTTAGGAAATTAATACAGGAAGTTAGGAAAATTTAAAATGAAATTTGTTGGCATTGGAATATTGCAAAAGCCGATAGGAACATTGCAAGTTCCCTCAAGGGATTTGCAAAGAGTTTTTCAAATTTGCAAAGCTAATGAGATCATATTTCTATAATATTTATATTTATTGCGATCACCAACATGGAAATAGTGATTTTTTTACGAATGGAAATTCGTAATCCTTGAGTAATCCAAGCCTTTGATAACTGCTTTTCTTTACGTTTCGATAAGAATTTTAACGGAGCATGTTTATATATTAGCTTATTGACGTTATTATAAAACATATTGAAGACAAGATTACAATCCGAATACTTTTGTAAATTCAAATTCTCTAATTCAAGCAAAAAGTTATTTTTATTAAATTTGGAATAATCTCTGACTTTAGATTTTTTGTATGATATTGACTGTGGTTCTTGTTAATGATGCAGACCTGCGAAAAATGATCATTTATATCTGAAACCACAGTATATTGCCACAAGAAAAATTATATTCAAGATTACTTAAAAAAATATTATCAATTAAAGTAGCTGAATCGCCATATATTCTGGTAGGTTTTGTGATAGTTGGGAAATAGGCATATGTATGCAAGAAATTCAGAAATTCCTTGCTGTATTTACAAGTTTCATACTTTAAAAGATCAATGTTGAAATCACCCAGAATGCAGACATTCTTATGTCGTTTACTAAAATTGTAGAGAGTTTCGTTTAGATATTCTTGAAATTTTGTTGGATCATTATGTTATCGATAAACAACACCACAAACTATACTCTCCTTATGGTCCAAAAATATTTCAACCCAAAGTACTTGGTAATTAAATATTAGATACCTGTTCCAAAACAGAACATCTACAATTTTCTCGTATATATATACCCACGCCTCCGGCAGAAGGTGGTGTAGGTACATACTCAAAGAAATAGCCTGGAACATTAGGATTAAAATTAAGTGGCTCACCCTTAACAATTCTAGTTTCAGTTACTGAAATTGCGGTAAATTGAAAATTAATTTCACTTAAACAAATGATTTTGGAAAGCTGCAAGGTTCTTTTTTAAGTGTATGTACTCCTTTTTTACGTGTACATTATTACGTGTATGTACTCTTATTTTACTGTGTGTACTCCTTTTTTACTATAATATAGTCGTATTATTTCCGAAGGTAGGCAAATGCAGATCAAACTACCGATACATATACCTTCAAATAATCCAAAATACTTCACATATCTTGACAACTTCGCTAGAATAATAATCGAAATAAAATCTACGATACTTTTACTATATACTAACAATATTTTAATATATAATGAAAGAAATAAAATGTACTGATTGATTTTTATATAATCGTATTTGGGTGGGGTTGGAGTGACTTTAATAAACTTTGTATATCTTTCTAATATTATTAGGGTGGTTTGGGCAGGGTGAGTGGGAATATCTTATACTGTCTGTAAATGCACGACCTAATGAAAAGCAACGACAACCTTGTAAATATTTTTAGTTGATTAGCTCCGTGTTAAAATATGTTTTAATAAATAAATAAATAAATAATAAATAACTTGTAACGCAAGAAAAATACGAAAGGTTTTTGCAATTTTGTTCAATGTTCAATGTTCAATGTTCAATGTTCAACTCATTCGCTTCAGTGATGCATCATAAGTGGTATTCCAACGAATGGATCACTCCAGGAGAATAGTATAGTTATCATTATTGTTTATCTTCCATCTCGACGGATAATTCACACAAGAAAGAGGTACACGACCATGAAAATAACAGGCATGATTTGTTCCTACAACCATTTGTTCCTTGAACTATAGAAAAACTATAAGCACCATCTTTACTTTAAAAAGTAGAAATTGCGCTTAATGTAGTTTCTCTGAATAATTTACTTTGCACTAAACAACTGCTGTAACTTGATCAGTTGATGAGGTACAAGATTTCTACTCCTCTGGAAGCAAGATTTGTTTGCGTGAACATTCTAGGAATAGCAATTTTTCATTATCCGCCCAAGGCGTTCCAAGCCAGAGAGAAAATGATGACCAATTTTCTTAAAAGTGTACCGGGGCGAGAGCTACACTGCAAAAAATTCTGAGTAGAATCCATTCAAAAAATTGAGTAAATGAATGCACCCACAGTGACACAAAATAGTGAGTAAAACTACTCATAAAATGTGAGTAATATTTACTCAAATTTTTGAGTTAATTTACTCAAAAAACTGAGTTGAAAGTACTCAAGTTATACACATTTACAGTTACTCACGGTAGGAGTAAACAATAAATTACTCAAACTTTGAGTAAA